CGCGGCACCACAGCGGGGCGACACATCCAGCCGGCATCGTGTGTAAATAATGGGACGTGAGGGCCAAAAAAGAAAAAAATGACAAACCAAAAAAAGGACCGAAATAAAACTCCACCCCTGTAGAGCCCTGCTTCAAAAAAGCCTCAGACCCCGAACCTGCTTCCAGAGAACCCTGAACCTTAAGCCCTAAAGTTAATCAGCGATTGGATTCTTTCAGCCAGTCCAAAGTCGTACTGTGACATAGGTGAGTTCAAAAGACTTGTTTGAGGGTTGCCATACGGGTTCATTTCTTACAGCATGACGGTGTAGAACGATTCCTATACAGGTGAACCCTCAGCCCTAAATTCTTGGCAGATTTGCTTTCAGCCGAGGTGCATGAACCTCTTTATCGACGGCCTCCGAAAGGGAAAGTGAGTGGGAGCACATTGAAGGGTTTAGGGCTGCTAAGCCTGCTCAGCTCCTAGAAAAACCGTCTGGCAGCATTCTGAGGGTTTGTTTCAGGAAACCTTCGATGCCAACAAGTGAAAGGCCCGAATATAGGGGCCTTAATCATTAGAATAGGGTTTTTGGGGCTCATTACACTACAAATATCATATGGACCACTCCCAAAAAAACATTAATAGTCTTGGTAACTATTTATGCCCCTGCATTTTACGCCCCTGTGCGACGACATCCAGGCCGGCCCTAGGCCTTTCAAGCTGAAGCGCAGGCAGCTCGCTCTGGGTTTCCTGGGAGAGTCGGGGGACTTAGGAACTAGTTATTGAATAGGCTTAGTGGTTTCAGAGCCCCAATTAGGACCCCTTTTAGGGTACCTATGAAAAGTCCCCCCGACCCTGCAAGTAGGGTTTAGGGCTAACACAAGCCCATGCTGAAACGGGTGTACCTTGAGAACCCAAAACCTACTTTTTTGTAAGGTCCCTATAAATCCCATATTAGGGTTTATAATAAGAACCTACGTGGGTTTTGGGTTCTTAAGGTAGGGTTCAGAAGCGACTGCAACTCGCTCTAGAGCAGATCTCCGAAGGGAGATGCTTGAAGCTCTGTTGAAGTGCAAGACAAGCCCTGCTTCCCAGGTCGTCAGATCATGGTCCCGAACCCTAAGCCCTCAACCCCTAAACCCTAAATCTTAAACCCCTAAACCCTAAGCCTTAAACCCCTAAACCTTAAACCCCCAAACCCATAAGCCTTAAACCCTTAAACCTTAAACCCCTAAGCCCTAAACCTTAAACCCCTAAACCCCAGGCCCTGTGATTAGCTCTGGTGGGAAATACCCTGGCAGCTAGGGCCTGATACCAAGGGGTTGGGGTTTGGGGTTTAGGGTTTACCTTAAGAACCCCAAAACCTACTTTTTTGTAGGGTCCCTATAGATCCCATATTAGGGTTTATAATAAGAACCTGCAAAAAAGTGGGTTTTGGGTTCCTAAGGTAGGCAAGGGCATCCTAACCCCTACACCCCTCAAGCCCCACACCGCGAACACGAAGCCCAACTCCAATGGAGCAGAACAGGAAGAGCCTGTCAGATTCGTCAGCGGAGGAAGAGGCAAAAAGATCGGAGCCCCATATAGATTATCGTGCTCTCTTTCAGGCGGACGCCACTTGGGTTATGTTGTAGGTTGCGATATTGGCACCCGCTGTTCTGGACTATCGTCGTTTTTCAGAGGAGGAGACCATCGGATTCCATGTTAGTTTAGGCTTGCTATGTGAAATCCAGAAGGGTCACCTCAGGGTTCTTCAGGGCAGTGTAGCCCTCTGAGGTTCCGGGGTTTCGTGTTTAGGGTTTAGGGATTAAGGTTTCGGGTTTAGGGTTTAGGGATTAAGGTTTCGGGTTTAGGGTTTAGGGATTAAGGTTTCGGGTTTAGGGTTTAGGGTTTAGGGTTTAGGGATTGGGGTGCTTCCGGTCGGGGTGTACATTGCCTAGCTGGGGCCCTTGCATTCAATTGCTGTTTTTGTCATAAGCCATCATCCTCGGCAGGTACAGGTGCATGCGTCGCTGCTTGGAAGCTTTCTCTAGCAGCAGACCCACACTGTAATTCTACTCCCTGGCCTATAAGCCCCAACTGTAATCCCTAAACTTGTAGGGTGTTGGGTATTACAGCCGGAACTCTATGCCCTAAGCATCCCGTGACCTTCGGAATGCCCCGCTTTGGACCCTAAGCCCGTGAGGGAAAAAAAGCCCTAGGCCACGATGTACTTAGGGCCTAGGGTTTAGGGTTTAGGGTTTAGGGTAACGAGTCCGAGGAAGCATCGAATCAACTTCCTTCGTGAATCCGAAGCTCGTGCCGCAGATGGCACCTCGTCTCTTCGGAATGTCGCTAGTGTAGAAGTCGGAATAGTTGCCAAAGTGATTCCCTCACTGTTCATTCATTTTGCTAATATCCTCCAATGGGTGTCAGGATGTCGTTTCACGGTTTGGTTTGCAGGTCAGGGCGGAATCTGGCGCATGACGAATTACAACTAAAGTCTGAAGTTGTTGCTTCAGAACCAACACTTCCAACTACCCATGACCCCTGATCCCACAAACGCAAACCTCTTCGTGCTTGTTTTCCGCAGACGTGCCCCCGGGCCAAGACTAAGGCGGATGCTTCGGATGTGCTCAAGTCATGCTAGCTGCTCAGAGACCGGGACGTCGGGTTCAGTAAGGTGTTTAGGTGGCAGACACCCACGTCATGGGGGTCTGCGTTTTCATGCGCAATAAGTCAACCAGATCTTAGTACATCATAGCAGTTGAGGGTCCAGGAGTGAGACTTGATCGGGCTAGGGCTTTGGAAATCGGTGTGCGGTAAGGGCCGGAGAACAGAGGGTAGGCGTTTGGGGGTGGGGCTTTGGAGTGTTTCGGGCCCTGGGGTTTCGGACATCAGCACCAGCATGAGAGCTCAAGGGAGCAGTGACGGTACTTAAAGGATCATGGGACTTAGTAACTGAGGTTATATACAAGGTAACAATACTTACAACCCCAATTAGGGTACTTATAACCCTACTTACTAAGTCCCAAGATCCTCCAAGTAGTCCTCTACCCGTGAACCCAAAGCCTTGGCCTTTCCCGGTTTTGGGTTCCACCAAGTCACGGTTTAGGGTTTAGGGTCCTATGACCATTTGCCTCGCCTGGATTGTCCACATGCATGTGAAAGCCGAAACGCTGAAGCCCTAAAGCCTGCAGACTTTTCGGTGCCCCACCTTGAGCTTGAGCTTTGATTCTGCGAGGTGTCACGGCGGCGGTATAGAACAGTAGATCCTTTCTTGGACAGGCTTCACCGTAAGCCGCCGTAAGCCTGATGCGGCCTGAGGCTTATGCTGTAGCAGTTGACGGTTGATATAGAATAGTATAGAAGCCTACATAATTACCAATATTATTCTTAGTGCGAACAGACTTCGATGCCTC